GTCCAGGAGCCCCAGCCCAGTGGCAGCTGCTCACGCTCCCATCGCCGCCCGTCCGACCACCACCACCATCACCACCACCACCACCACCACCATCACTACCACCATCACCATCACCACTCTGGTATCTGAACGCTGTTTCCTGGAAAGAAAATATTCTCCCATTCACATAACTGTCCTCTATCACTAAAAAGCAACTGTTTTACTTTTCCTGGACAATTGCCCAGAGATAGCTGGGTCAGGCGGTCCTAAAACACTTCTTCATCATTAAGCCTCTATTATCTTAAATTTCATTAAAATAAGATGTTTTTCTAAATTATATAATTATGTGTTGGGGAGCAGGAAATCTTACTCTAGGTTCTTCTGGCTGGCCTAAGAATTAAATCGATGTAAGACAGATTAGCAGGAGCAAATAGCCAAATGTAATTACGGTTGGATGTCCAGGGTTCATTAAGACCAGGGGGCCCAAGGCAGGCTGGGTGTGCGTGCCCCCAGAGCTAAGGGGATGGGGAAGTGGTCTGGGACTTCAAAGGGGAGGAAGGAGCAAATGTTTGGTAAACAAATGTTCGCTGGGCCTCAAAGTGAGGTGTCTGATGGCCAGGCTCCTCCAGTGCCGCCCCCCCACACTCCCCCACCCCACCCCAGCCCCTGTTCTCTGTAGACCTCCAGCGAGAGCCCTGTTCCGGGACCAGGTATGATTCTGCCTCAGTTCTTCCAGGCAGTTCGCAGGGAGGTCAAAGGTCCTGCTGAGTCTTAGTTCCTTCAAAATAAAGTCATGCCCTGGCAGAGAGCCGGGAGTGTCCCACTTGGCTTCCCACCCGTGACCCACACACTGTGGACTCGGGCGCCGACGCGGACGGCGTGGACATGAGCATCTTCAGGTAGAAGGGTTAGCCTCCCAGGCTTTCGTGACTGTAGTCATGTGTGTCCCTGTCCCGCTGGCCACCAGGACATGTTAACACCTATCTGAGCATTTGCCTGCGTGACAGTCTGAGGTTGGAGTGAAGTCAGACTCTCGTCGCAGCCTCCTGAGTGATGGCTAACAGAACACGACGTGATCTAATCCGGTTCCCTCCCAAGCCTTCCTCCGCTAAACCCTCTGACCGCCCGGTCCCTCACGGCCAGTGGCACAGAGTGTAGCATCATTTCCTACCCGGGGGGTTCTGAGGAGCTGTCAGCGTGTTTTTGAAACACTGTATTACGGGGTTTTTTTTTTCCTGTATTTACCAGGAAGCTTCACAGGGTACGTGCTTAGAGAAAGCTGCGTTTCCTTTGATGGTTTTTGTTTAGTTTAGTTTTGCGGTTGCTCAATGCAGTCAAAGCGAGGTTGGGAGTCATTATAATCTCATACAGCCTGAACTTGTATGGCCACGTCAATCCTCAGGTAGATTCCCTTGGCTGGTCAGAGCGCATGGGAGGGAGGAAGAGGGGGCAGAGGACCCTGCTGCTTCTTTAAAAACAAACAAACATGGAAACCCTTAGAAATGTGAGAAATGGGGCATTTCCTCCAGCTGTTCTGTGAATGGGGATTCTCTCCTAAGTGCCCTTAGAATTTACATCAGAGCTTGAGCAAGAAGTTGTTTAACCCTTAAATGGGCATTGCTTCTTGCAAACCCAAATTTGCAAAACCAGCTGGGAATGTCCAGGCCAGAATCAAAGGACTGTGGAGAGGGACCCGCCCCGCCCCCCTCCCCCACATCCCCTTCCCCCAGCAGGAGCACGGGACTGACACAGAGGCCCTCTAAGGGAATGGCTCCGAGAGGCAGGTTCCCGGGAGGAGGGAGCGGCTGGGGGATTTATACTCCATGACGCAATCGCCCAGGGCAGCTCGCAAAGGATTTCTCTGGACTCGAGAGGGCTGGGCTGGGGCCCACGGGTGGCAGACACCCTCCCGAGCTCGGCGTGCGTTTCATTCCCTTCAAGAAAGCAGAGCCGCTGAGAGGGCCCCGGCCTCACCTGTGTGATCACATTGCCCGGCGCCTCTGGGTGTGTAGACCCAGCCTTAGTCGGTGAGACACTGACGAGCTTTCTCATAAAGCCACAAACACCGTGTTTTGGAAACAACCAAATAAGCGCAGCTGAAGAGCATCCATGTGGCCATCGCCTGTCTTTAAATAAAACATTAAAAAAAGCTAAATGTAGGATGGATTTAGGTTGTATCATACCTTGTGAGCCCTTTTGCTTGGCTAAAGCAGTGGTTCTCAACCTTCCTAATGCCCTTTAATACAGTTCCTCATGTTGTGGTGACCCCCAATTTCATTATTACAAATTGAACATAATTAAAGCATATGATTAATCACAGCAACAATATGTAATTATATATGTGTTTTCCGATGGTCTTAGGCGACCCCTGTGAAAGGGTCGTTCCACCCACAAAGGGGTTGCAACCCACAGGTTGAGAACCGCTGCTTTAAAGGCAACGTTATTTGGAAAATCGTTAAATAATCACACACGCAAGTTGCCAGTTTCTGTTTCCACACGCGCTGCCGCTGGCACGCGGGAGAGCCTTGCCTTGAGGGCATCGGCCATCATGAGGGGTCGGGGGCGCCCTGGGGGGGGTGGGCACCCACATCTAACTGTCGGGAACTGTTCGGCTTTTCTGTGCGCAGACCTTCCGGCGGAATAAGGGAGACTTTGGCCTCTGAAACGGAAAACCAGACCCCTGAGCGTCTCCCCGCCGAGGGGTGCGTGGAAAGCACCACCCTGCAGATCCGCCCGGCCACGCACAGCCAGGACTCCGAGCCCCACCTCGACTCCCACCAGAGTGGCACCCCCCTGGCTGAGAACTCGGAAAGCGGTCCCGCTTTTTCTGGGAGCAAAACAGAAGAAGAAACGGGCCTGAGTTACACCGACGCGCCCCACACGCCTGGCCCCCCAAGAGGACGTGAGGCAGAGGAGGGGCTCTTGGTGGAGAGGAAGGCAGCGGTGGGCTGGCCCGGCCCCGTGGTTGAGCTACAGCTGTCCCTGCCCCAGGACATGGGCACGGCCCCCGGGGCCCCCGCCCTGGCCCTCCCGGGAGCTGGCACACCTCGGAGCCCTGACCCAGACCCCAAGGCTGTGCACATAAACTCAGCCCCC